TTGCTGTGGAAACAAAGCTTGGTGAGAATGCTTCAGTAGAGTCTCCCCTATGATCACTCTTCCAGGAGTAAATTTCCCTTCTAAGGAATAGATTTCTCTCACTTCCTGTTGTCTCTCCCCCCCCCCTTGTAACTATGAGTCGTATGTAAGTCGGAGACTGCCTATACTTAGGAAGAAGCCATTACGGTTAAGTCATTATGGCTAACCACAAAAGATGTTTGCAGTGGTAATCTGCTTTTAAAAGTTAATGCGTTCTCAGCTCAGAAACAAAGAGACGCCCAGTCAACAAATGGGTGTGTGACACATGTGTATATATTCTGGCTCCCCCAGAATATATTACCGGTTGAGTATCCCTTATCAGGAGTTCCAATAATCCATAATACTCCAAAATTGTCCTCAGATGTGGATAAGATACTGACACTTTATTTCTGATGTTTCATGCACAAAATTAGTAAAACATTATCTTGTTTTACTAATTCCCTTCATAATAAATTAAGTGTTTAGACTGAGTCCCATCTCCTCAATATCTCATTATGTATATTGAAGTATTCATACGGCAGGGACACGGCCATTGCCATTTTTGAGCTTCCCATCATATGCGGCAACCACAGATTCTCCAATTTGATTGGGTTTCAGCACCCACTCTATAAGACGACTCCTGGCGTATAAGACTACCCTTGCATATAAGAAGACTCCCCATATATAAGGCTACTCCCGCGTATAAGACGACACCGCATATAAGATGACCCCTGAATTTTGAGATCTTCTTGGGTAAAAAGTAGTCTTATACACCAGAATATATGGTAATTCTACAGTGACCTGTGTCAAACTCAAATCCCACAGGATGAATTTCACCCGCCATGTTGTTTTATGTGGCCCTCTCCCAGATGCTGAACTGCAAGTTGTCTTCCTCATCTTAGACATCATGATGAATTGAGAGCTGATAGGAGTTGTGATACATCAACATCTGGAAGGTTGCAAAGTGTTCTCTTCAATCAAGAGAGTGGGGTCTGAATTTAAATACAAGGGTTATGGATATGATGTCTGATTTTAAAATGCCGTTCAACCTTTCCTCAACTTCAGATCCATAAGTGCTGTTGGGTTGCAATTCCCATTATTCCCAGTCAGTGGATAATCACAGTGATGGCAGTTGTCGTTCAATAACACCCGGAGAGCCAAACGGATAAAAACTAAAGAACATCAACAACGATGTAAAAAAAAATTATAGCTAGTCCTCTGTAGCCATGGATCCTCTGCCATGGATGCAATCATAAGAAACGTCAGGAGAGAATGCCTCTGAACATGGCCATATAGCCCAAAAAAACCTACAACAACCCAATCATAAGGTTGGTGTGGCTTTCGATGAAAATGACTTTGACACCCTTGATGTCACCCTAAGTCTCCTTTCTGGATTACAAGAATATGGGAAATGAGAGGAAAATTATCCTTGGTTATCTATATAAATAAAAATGTAATGCTACCATCAGAATTGACACAAATTTGGACACAAGACACCTAACAGTCCAATTTATGTCCTCCACTCAAAAAATTAATTTTGTCATTTGGGAATTGTCGTTGCTGGGATTTATAGTTTACCTACAATCAAAGAGCATTCTGAACTCCGCCAATGATGGAATTGGGCCAAACTTAGCACACAGGGCTCCCATGACCAACAAAAAAAACTGGAAGGGTTTGGTGGACATTGACCTTGAGTTTGGGAATTATAGTTCACCCACATCCAGAGAGCACTGTGGACTCAAACAATGATGGATCTGGACCAAACTTGGCACGAATATTCCATATGCCCAAATATGAGCACTGATGGAGTTTAAAGGAAATAGACCTTGACATTTGGGCAAGAAAATGTAATCAGAGCCCTCCTGACAAAGAGCCATCCAGTCATAAATATAGATAGATATGATTCTCTCTCTCTCTCTCTCTCTCTCTCACACACACACACACACACACACACACACAGACCCTTAAAGAAGGACTATGATATGTTGCATATTCCAGAGTAGGCAAACCAGGCATTCTCCACATCAGCACTGACAAAGAAACAACAAGAAATACTGTTTACTCACAAGCATAAAGGAATTACATATATTAGAAACCAACACTTTCTCATTACTTTATTTTCCAGATCACCAGACTGGGCCACAGCAACGAGTGGCAGGGGACAGCTAGTATATAATATAATATAATGTAATATAATATCATATAGGAAAAACATTGGCCTTAGATGTCATAGGCAGTAACAAAATTCAGAGTGGGAAAAGCATGGGACCTTAGATAGCCAGAAGACTTGCAGAACCATGGACAACATCTGAAGAACTGCATACTGAGGAGGGAGTTGTGCCCTGTCCAAGCCTGCAATAGTAGGTGCACACACACATCTGCACCAGGACTTGGCCTTGCTCTGCAAGACCCTTCAATCTTGAGATGCTGATAACGGGGTAGACTGCCCATATTGTGACTCCAGACTTTGGGAATTGGAGATGAGGGATGTTGAGGGAGGGATGCTATGCAGACATTAGGAACTGTAGCAATGCTATTGTCGTTTTCTTCCCATTTTCTATGCTGCCAACCAACAGAGCGCCCGGGGCAATTGGCAGCACTGAAATGAGCAGAGAAGGAAACACTGTCTGCTACACAAGGATTATTATCTTAAAGACAGGGGATGGGTTGGAAATCTCAGAATAAGCAGGATCTGGCCAAAATGTTGGAAGGAAGAGAGGAGAGTGAAGGGAAATATGGAAGGGAAGGGAGGATGAAAGTAAAGAAGGAAAAGGAGGGAAGGAGGAGGGAGGGAGGGAGGGAGGGAAAGAAGGAAGGAAGGAAGGAAGGAAAAGAAGGAAAAGAAGGGAGGGAAGGAGGAGAGAGAAAGAGGCTTTGCAATTGGTACCCAGATGCTGATGGATGGAGGGTTGCATCAGAGGAGCTGCAATGGGGCCAAACCTGTTTCCATTAGGAGAATGGAGCCAATGAGGTGGAAATCCCATAATACACAGCAGGGAAGGACAATTATTATTTATTATTATATTCATATTATTATTTATATTTCAGGAGGAATAAGGAAAAATAAATATAAAATGCAATGCACGATCCACCATCCCATTGCATTATAAATAATACAAATATTAATTATTTTTTATATTGCAGGCGAAATAAGGAATAAAAAATTTAAGGTACCATTTCCACCATTCCATTGTAATATTATTATTATTATTATTATTATTATTATTAATAATAATAATAATAATAATAATAATAATGTATATTGCAGGAAAAATAAGTAAGTGGATGCTTGGAATAAATAAATAAATAAATGCACCATCTCCACCATCCCATTGGAATGCATGATCTATCATCCCACTACAATATAAATTATTATTAACAATAATATTGCAGGAGAAATAAGGAAGTGGGTGCTTGGAAAAGATATAATAATAAATGCACCATCTCCACCATCTCATTGCAATATAAATAATAATACAAATTATTATTATTATTATTATTATTATTATTATTATTATTAGAAACACAACAAGATGAGTCCACAGCAGACACTCTGCTGGCTGTTGTTATTATTATCACCACTATCATTTATATTGCAGAAGAAATAAGAAAATGGGTGCTTGGGGAAAAAAAAATAAAGGCACAATTTCCACCATCCCGTTGCAATATATTATTATTATTATTATTATTATTATTATTATTATTATTATTATTGCAGGAGGATTAAGGAAATTGGTGCTTGAAAAAAAATAAAAATAGATGCCCCATCTCCACCATTCCATTGTAATGCACGATCCACCATCCTATTGTAGTAATAATAATAATAATAATAATAATATATTGCAGGAGAAATAAGAAAGTGGGTGCTTGGAAAAAATAAAAAAAACATATGCCCCATCCCCACCATCCCATTGCAAAATAAATAATACGAAGTATTATTATTATTGCAGGAGGAATATGGTTGTGGGTGCTTGGAAAAAATAAAAAAAAAACAGATGCCCCATCCCCACCATCCCATTGCAATATAAATAATACAAATTATTATTACTATTATTATTATTATTGCAGGAGGAATATGGAAAAGAATGCTTGGAAAAATAAAAAACAGATGCCCCGTCCCCACCATCCCATTGCAATATAAATAATACAAATTATTATTATTATTATTATTATTATTATTATTATTATTATTATATTGCAGGAGGAATATGGAAATGGGTGCTTGGAAGAATAAAAACAGATGCCCCATGCCAACATCCCACTACAAAATAAATAATACAAATTATTATTATTACTATTATTATTGCAGGAGGAATATGGAAGTGGATGCTTGGAAAAAATAAAAAAATAGATGCCCCATCTCCATAATCTGATTGCAATATACATTATTATTATTATTATTGCAGGAGGAATATGGAAGTGGATGCTTGGAAAAAATAAAAAATAGATGCCCCATCCCCACCATCCCATTGCAATATAAATACAAATTATTATTATTATTATTATTATTATTATTATTGCAGGAGGAATATGGAAGTGGATGCTTGGAAAAAATAAAAAATAGATGCCCCATCTCCATAATCCCATTGCAATATAAATAATACAAATTATTATTATTATTATTATTATTATTATTATTATTATTATTGGAAAAATAAAAACTGATGCCCCATCTCCATAATCCGATTGCAATATAAATTATTATTATTATTATTATTATTATTATTATTATTATTATTATTATTGCAGGAGGGATATGGTAGTGGGTGCTTGGAAAAATAAGAAACCAGATGCCCCATCCCTCCCCACCATCCCATTGCAATGCAAGGTCTCCCCCGCCCCATTGCATCAAGGAAGGGCGCCGCTGCATCCTGCCTGCAATGGAAGGGAAGGGAGGCTGGGATGCGGCGGCGGCGGTGGCGAAGGAGGAAAAGGAGTCCCCACAGGCGGCCCGCCCCTGGCCCTCCCCCGGCGGGACTCACGGTCAGGCCGGTGCCCAGCACTATCACGTCGTAGGCCTCGTCCATGGTGGTGGTAGTGGTGGTGGTCCCGGCCGCGGAGCCCCCGCCCCGAGCGGAGCCAAGATGGAGCCGCACCACCGCGCCGAGCGGATCACACCGCCGGGGAAAGACAAAAACGAGTCCCAGAGCCGAGAGAGAAAGCAGAGATCGCTCCGCCTTGGAAAAGGGAGGGTGAACTGGCTCCTCGCGCCCCTTTTTTCCGAAGGAGGCGGATGGAGAAAAGGGCGAGGGGTGGGAGTGTGCCCCTCCGCCGTGTTCTGGACACAGCCTCAGCGCAGAGAGAGGATGGGAAACGAGTTCCGGCCCCTGTTTCTCCCTGTCATCAGCTGAGGGCAGGCGGAGGGGGCTTGTCAGGCCTGCCTTCACCATGGAAACCCCAGAGCAAGGATGGGTTCTAGTACATGCATACATCTCTGTGTGTATCACTCTCTCTCTCTCTCTCTCTCTATATATATATATATATGTATATAGAATCATAGAATCCTAGAGTTGGAAGAGACCTCCTGGGCCATCCAGTCCAACCCCCTTCCAAGAATCATAGAATCATAGAATGAAAGAGTTGGAAGAGACCTCATGGGCCATCCAGTCCAACCCCCTGCCAAGAAGCAGGAATATTGCATTCAAATCACCCCTGACAGATGGCCATCCAGCCTCTGTTTAAAAGCTTCCAAAGAAGGAGCCTCCACCACACTCCGGGGCAGAGAGTTCCACTGCTGAACGGCTCTCACATCAGGAAGTTCTTCCTCATGTTCAGATGGAATCTCCTCTCTTGTAGTTTGAAGCCATTGTTCCGCGTCCTAGTCTCCAGAACCAGAAAACAAGCTTGCTCCCTCCTCCCTGTGGCTTCCCTCACATATTTATACATGGCTATCATATCTCCTCTCAGCCTTCTCTTCTTCAGGCTAAACATGCCCAGCTCCTTAAGCCGCTCCTCATAGGGCTTGTTCTCCAGACCCTTGATCATTTTAGTCACGCTCCTCTGGACACATTCCAGCTTGTCAATATCTCTCTTGAATTGTGGTGCCCAGAATTGGACACAATATTCCAGGTGTGGTCTAACCAAAGCAGAATAGAGGGGTAGCATTACTTCCCTAGATCTAGACACTATGCTCCTATTGATGCAGGCCAAAATCCCATTGGCTTTTTTTACCGCCACATCACATTGTTGGCTCATGTTTAACTTGTTGTCCACGAGGACTCCAAGATCTTTTTCACACGTACTGCTCTCGAGCCAGACATCCCCCATTCTGTATCTTTGCATTTCGTTTGTTGTTCATTCGTTCAGTCGTCTCCGTCTCTTCGTGACCTCATGGACCAGCCCACGCCAGAGCTCCCTGTCGGCTGTCACCACCCCCAGCTCCTTCAAGGTCAGTCCAGTCACTTCAAGGATGCCATCCATCCATCTTGCCCTTGGTCGGCCCCTCTTCCTTTTACCTTCCACTTTCCCCAGCATAATTGTCTTCTCTAGGCTTTGCTGTCTCCTCATGATGTGGCCAAAGTACTTCAACTTTGTCTCTAGTATCCTTCCCTCCAATGAGCAGTTGGCCTTTATTTCCTGGAGGATGGACTGGTTGGATCTTCTCGCAGTCCAAGGCACTCTCAGAACTTTCCTCCATCACACAGCTCAAAAGCATCTATCTTCCTTCGCTCAGCCTTCCCTAAGGTCCAGCTCTCACATCCGTAAGTGACTACAGGGAATACCATGGCTTTGACTAGGCGGATCTTTGTTGCCAGTCTGATGTCTCTACTCTTTACTATTTTATCGAGACTGGACATTGCGAAAAAGAAGCAGGAAAATCTCATTCAAAGCACCCTCAGCAGATGGCCATGCAGCCTCTGTTTAAAAGCCTCCAAAGAAGGAGCCTCCACCACACATCGGTGCAGAGAGTTCCACTCCTGAACGGCTCTCACAGTCAGGAAGTTCTTCCTCATGTTCAGATGGAATCTCCTTTATTTATTTATTTATTTACACCATTTCTACCCAGCCCTTCTCACCCCTGAGGAGGGACTCAGGGCGGCTAACGCAGGCAACAATTCAATGTCAACTATGATGGCACACCGGGAAGATGAAGAGAAAACGATGTGTACAGCTATTTTCCCAGTGACCATCGGTATGCCCTAATTTATTTATTTATTTACTTCGCTTGTATACCGCAGTTTCCCAGCCCGTAGGCGACTCAACGCGGTTCACAACAAGAGCAAAAAGTCAATCGTACAACATACAATATTTAAAACCATTAACAGCCTAATATACAAAATAATGACACATCAATAACAACACATCAACGTCTCGTAACTAAAATCGTGATCCAATTCGTCATCCATAATTCCGTTTCCTATATTCATCGTTCATTGCACTATTTATCCGAACGCCTGTTCAAACAGCCAGGTTTTTAGTTTTCTTCGAAACACCATTAACGAAGGGGCTGATCTAATGTCCATGGGAAGGGCGTTCCACAGCTGAGGGGCCACCACAGAGAAGGCCCTGTCCCTCGTCCCCGCCAGCCGTGCTTGTGATGCAGGCAGGATCGAGAGCAGGGCCTCCCCAGAAGATCTTAGAGTCCTGGTGGGTTCATAGGCAGAGATACGTTCGGATAGGTAGCTTGGGCCAGAACCGTTTAGGGCTTTATAGGCCAACGCCAGCACTTTGAATTGAGCCCGGTAGCAAATCGGCAGCCAGTGGAGCTGGTGCAGCAAGGGAGTTGTATGCTCCCTGCGCTCCGCTCCTGTTAGTAACATGGCTGCCGAGCGTTGGACTAGTTGGAGCTTCCGAGCTGTCTTCAAAGGCAACCCCACGTAGAGAGTGTTGCAGTAGTCTAAACGGGATGTAACCAGAGCGTGGACTACCATGGCCAAGTCAGACTTCCCAAGGTACGGGCGCAGCTGGCGCACAAGCTTTAACTGTGCGAATGCTCCCTGGTCACCACCGAGACCTGGGGTTCCAGGCTTAGCGATGAGTCCAGGATCACACCCAAGCTGCGAACCTGTGTCTTCAGGGGGAGTGCGACCCCATCCAACACAGGCTGTAACCCTATGCCCTGTTCGGCCTTCGACTGAACAGGAGTATCTCTGTCTTGTCTGGATTCAGTTTCAATTTGTTCGCCCTCATCCAGACCGCCATAGCATCCAGGTACTAAATAAAGTCTGTAATGCTCAAGATCCTGCAAGAAGACTCCAGCAATACATGGAGCGAGAGTTGCCAGATGTTCAAGCTGGGTTTAGAAAAGGCAGAGGAACGAGAGACCAAATTGCCAATATCCGCTGGATAATGGAGAAAGGCAGGGAGTTTCAGAAAAACATCTATTTCTGCTTCATTGACTATTCTAAAGCCTTTGACTGTGTGGATCATAATAAATTGTGTCAAGTTCTTTGGGATGGGCATCCCAAGCCACCTTGTCTCTCTCCTGAGGAATCTGTACAAGGACCAAGTAGCAACAGTCAGAACTGACCACGGAACAACAGACTGGTTCAAGATTGGGAAAGGCGTACGGCAAGGCTGCATACTCTCACCCAACCTTTTTAACTTGTATGCAGAACACATCATGCGATGTGCGGGGCTTGATGACTGCAAAGCTGGGGTGAAAATTGCTGGAAGAAACATTAACAACCTCAGATATGCAGATGACACCACTCTGATGGCCGAAAGCGAGGAGGAGCTGAGGAGCCTTCTAATCAAGGTGAAAGAAGAAAGCGCAAAAGCGGGGTTGCAAAAAAACAAAAAAAAACCAAGATTATGGCAACAAGAATGATTGACAACTGGAAAATAGAGGGAGAAAACGTGGAGGCCGTGGCACCTTGTATTTCTAGGTGCAAAGATTACTGCAGATGCAGACTATGGCCAGGAAATCAGAAGACGCTTACTTCTTGGGAGAGAGCAATGTCCATCTCGATAAAATAAGTAAAGAGTAGAGACATCAGACTGGCAACAAAGATCCGCCTAGTCAAAGCCATGGTATTCCCTGTAGTAACCTACGGATGTGTGAGCTGGACCTTAGGGAAGGCTGAGCGAAGGAAGATAGATGCTTTTGACTGTGGTGTTGGAGGAAAGTTCTGAGAGTGCCTTGGACTGCGAGAAGATCCAACCAGTCCATCCTCCAGGAAATAAAGCCCGACTGCTCATTGGAGGGAATGATACTAGAGACAAAGTTGAAGTACTTTGGCCACATCATGAGGAGGCAGCAAAGCCTAGAGAAGACAATTATGCTGGGGAAAGTGGAAGGCAAAAGGAAGAGGGGCCGACCAAGGGCAAGATGGATGGATGGCATCCTTGAAGTGACTGGACTGACCTTGAGCGAGCTGGGGGTGGTAACGGCCGACAGGGAGCTCTGGCGTGGGCTGGTCCATGAGGTCACGAAGAGTCGGAGACGACTGAACGAATGAACAACAACAACATATACACACACACACACACATGCATGTATATATGTAATGTATGTATATACAATAAGTGTGCGCACACACACATGCGGTATATATACTACATATATGTATATGTAGTATATATACCGTATGTCTGTGTGCGCACACTTATTTATTTTATTGTGTCAGAAGCAAATTGAGAATACAGTTATAATGTATAAAAAAAGGAAACAAAGTTAAAAACTTGGCATTATACTAAATGTCCTTTGACCTCAAGCTCGCCACTTCAAATGCCTCTGGTGTCACCTTAAGAAGGTCCTTCGTTGTGCATGTGGCAGGTCCCAGACTGCATTGCAATAGGTGGTCTATAGTTTTCTTTTCTCCACACTTGCAAGTCGTGGGCTCGAATTTGTGGCCCCATTTCTTAAGATTGGCTCTGCATTTCGTGGTGCCAGAGCTCAGTCTGTTCAGCGCTTTCCAAGTCACTCAGTCTTCTGTGTACGCACAGGACGGAGTTTCACATCTGGTACTGGCTACTGATAGAGGTTCCAGGTTTTAGCCTGCTACTTTTGGAATCTCACTTGCTGAGGTGTTCTTGCGAGTATCTCTGTAGATCTTAGAAAGCTGTTTCTTGATTTAAGGCATAGGCATGCTGGCTGATATCTGAACAGATGGGCTGGAAATGTCAATGCCTTGGTCCTTTCATTACAGGCTGCTACTTCCCGACAGATATCAGGTGGTGCAATAATACAGGCACATAACACTACCAGATAGATAGATGATAGATAGATCGATCGATCGATCGATGGATCGATAGATAGATCACCATTCTATTCGAATCTGCTGTGGTCCCCCAACTTTGGAACTCACTACCTGGTGAAATTAGGCAAGCCCCCACCTTAGTAGCCTACAAGAAAACTTTGAAAACTTGGCTCTTCCGATATGCCTTTGGA